AGGGCTTCCTGCAGCTGTCTTATCCCCCAGCACCCTAACCTCAGGTTCCTCCTTCCCCAGTGCGCTCAGTCTCTGGCTAGGGGGTAGAAGTCCCCATTTCCTTGGGGTGGCCTCCCTCAGGCCTTGCTCCCAGTCACTTCCTCATTCAGAGGGCAGCCAGCCACCTGTCTCCCTGAGCTGCCAGCCCCGTCTCTGTGTCTGTGTCACTGCCTTGTTCTCACCCTCTTTCTTGGCTTTGCCTCTGTTTTCTCCTTCCCCCGTATTTCATCTTTTTTTTCCCCCGTCTCTCCCGGAGTCAAAAACCTGCCGTTAGATCTTGGGTTCCGTTTCCATCTTGATTTGCTGTGCAGCCTTAGGCAAGTGTCTCTATCTCTCTGAACAATGGGGATGATAAAAGCATGTGCCCCAGAAGTGCTTTTCAGGGACTGAATGATTTAATGCTTGGGACAGAGTGCCTGCACGTTATGATGGCTCTTTTAATATCCTTTAAACAGCACAAGGTTCTGATGATTAAAGAATACTCATCACAGCTGATGCTTTAAAAAAGCTGACAAGTGTCAGACCCTGCTCTAGGAACTTTAATCCATTTAAGCCCCACAACAACTCTAAAAAGTAGGTCCTGTTTTACTCCCAATTTTACAGATTAAGAAACAGGCTCAGAAAGGTTGGGGCCGGGCGCAGTGGCTCACACAATCCCAGCACTTTGGGATGCCGAGTTGGTTGGATCACCTGAGATCAGGAGTTCAAGACCAGCCTGGCCAACATGGTGAAACCCTGTCTCTACTAAATAAAAAATACAAAAATTAGCCAGACGTGGTGGCGTGTGCCTGTAATCCCAGCTACTTAGGAGGCTGAGGCAGGAGGATCGCTTGAACCTGGGAGGCAGAGGTTGCAGTGAGCCAAGACCGTGCCATTGCACTCCAGCCTGGGCAACAAGAGGGAAACCGTCTTAAAAAAAAAAAGTTGAGTGACTTACTCAAGGTTGCCCAGCCAGGAAGAGGCAGAGCTGGTTTCAGTCTAATCAGATGAAGGTCATGCACTGACCCTCCTGTTAAGACGATGTCTGATCCCCTTTGTGGGTGGAGTCAAGTTTGCACTTCATGTACCCTTTGCCCTTCATGTCCAGTTGTTGGTGGGGAGAGCTGGGGCATGGCCCCTGGGTGACTGGGCCTGTTTCTTTCTTGGGTTTTGTTTCTGTCTCTCCTCCTCCCCTGTCCCCTCCTCCCTTCTGCCACCACCCACCTCAGACTTCCTCCTTCACTTGGCTGGACGCTGCGCCGCGCATCCCACCGGCCCTTACACTGTGGTGTCCAGCGGCATCCGGCTTCATGGGGGGCCTTGAACCCTGCAGCAGGCTCTTGCTCCTGCCTCTCCTGCTAGCCGTGGGAGGTGAGTTGGGGGCTTCCGTGGCTGCCTGTCCCTGGGCTCAGCTTGGGACAGGGCAGATAGCAGGGTGGAATGAGAGAACCAAAACGGGGTGTTGGGACGGGAGCAGGTCCCCAGCCTCCCAGAGCCTGTGGCTTTCTCCCAGAGCCTGAGCCCCCAAGATTTGCCCTCCACTACAAGCAAGGGGGAGGAGGGGACATCTAAGGGTGTCCCCACAGGACAAGTTGTGCAGCAGTAACACACACATTCTGGTGGCCCAGACACCAGCCCCCGAGTCCTGCCAGGCCCACTCTCCCCCTTGCTAACCTCCTGGCTGTCAGGATCCACCCTCCCCGGCTTCTAAACTTGTCCCCCTACCCCCATCATAGCTCTGTGTCTCAGTTTACCTTCTTTTTACTCCTCAGGTCTCTGTCCTGTCCAGGCCCAGGCCCAGAGCGGTAGGCCTAGACCCAGCAGTCCCTCTCCCTACCTCCCAAAGACCTCCCTGTCTCTGTCCCTCACTCACCCTTTCCAAACCTCTCCCCCACCCCACTGCCCGCTGACCTGCTCCCCACTATTCCCAGTGCACACATGCTGACCTCTCCTGACCCCTGTGCCATAGAATGCAGCTGCTCCACGGTGAGCCCGGGCGTGCTGGCGGGGATTGTGCTGGGGGACCTGGTGCTGACAGTGCTTATTGCCCTGGCCGTGTACTTCCTGGGCCGGCTGGTCCCTCGAGGGCGAGGGGCTTCAGAGGGTGAGTGGGGCTGGCAGGAGAAAACCTGAGGATGTGCCTGGATCCAGGAGGGGGGTTGAGTAAGGTCCCAGATCCCAAACATCCAAAGGGATGGTAATGGAGGTGCTGATTTGGAAACGACAAAACAACCCCAGCTCACCACTCTGCCTTTCTCTGCGCCCCGACACCCCTCACCTCCAGCAGCCACCCGGAAACAGCGTATCACTGAGACCGAGTCGCCTTATCAGGTGAGAAAACCAGACTGCCCTCCTCACATCTCACTCCTGCCTGGGGATGTCTGCCCCAGATTCTCCTTCATGCCATCATAGGGACCTCAAAGCCACTCTCCTTAAAGCACTCCCGAACCTTGAAGGCACACAGGGCATCTGTCTGAAACTGGGCTGAATGATTGACCACAAGCCTATGGTCAGCTTAAAATGTGTGAAGACTGGCTGGGCGTGGTGGCTCATGTCTGTAATTCCAGCACTTTGGGAGGCCGAGGCAGGTGGATCACCTGAGGTCAGGAGTTTGAGACCAGCCTGGCCAACTCTAACTCGACTAAAAATACTAAAATTAGCTGGGCATGGTGGCGGGAGCCTGTAATCCCAGCTACTCGGGAGGTTGAGGTAGGAGAATTGCTTGAACCCGGGAGGCGGAGGTTGCAGTGAGCCAAGATCATGCCACTGCACTCCAGCCTGGGTGACAGAGCAAGACTTTGTCTCAAAAAAAAAAACAAAAAACGTTAATTAAAAATTTTTTTTTATTTGAAGAAATAAGACAGGGGTCTCACTATGTTGCTCAGGCTGATCTCCAACTCCTGGTCTCAAATGATTCAAGTGATCCTCCTGCCTCAGCTTCCAAAAATCCTGGGATTACAGGCAGGAGCAGCCATGCTGGTTGAGTATTCTTGAAGCTCTTCATTCTTTCTTTTCTTTTTTTCTGAGAAGAAGTCTCACTCTGTCACCCAGGTTGGAGTGCAATGGCATGGTCTCAGCTCACTGCAACCTCTGCCTCCCTGGTTCAGGCCTCAGTCTCAGCCTCTCTGGCTGCAGCCTCCTGAGTAGCTGGGATTACAGGCATGTGCCACCACACCCGGCCCATTTTTGTATTTTTAGTAGAGACAGGGTTTCACTATGTTGGCCAAATTCACTGGTCTCAAATTCCTGACCTCATGATCCGCCTGCCTTGTCTTCCCAAAGTGTTGGAATTACAGGCGTAAGCCACCACATTCAGCCTAATTTTTTTTTTTTTTAAAGTAGAGGCCAGGTATGGTGTCTCACGCCTGTAGTCCCAGCACTTTGGGAGGCCAAGGTGGGTGGATCGTGAGGTCAGGAGATCGAGACCATCCTGGCCAACATGGTGAAACCTCATCTCTACTAAGAATACAAAAATTAGCTGAGCTTGGTGGTGTAAGCCTGTAATCCCAGCTACTCAGGAAGCTGAAATAGGAGAATTGTTTGAACCCGGGAAGTGGAGGTTGCTGTGAGCCGATATCATGCCATTGCACTCCAGCCTGGTGACAGAGCGAGACTCCATCTCAAAAAAAAAAAAAAAGTAGATCTAGGTTCTTGCTATGTTGCCCAGGTTTGTCCTGAACTCCTGGGCTCAAGAGATCCATTACCTCGGTCTCCCAAAGTGCTAGGATTACAGGCAAGAGTCACCATGCCTGGCTGAAGCTCTTTTTAAAAACTATGGTGTAGACAAGAGAATCTACACATCTGTCCCCCTCTCTGTCAGTGTTTCTTCTTAGCCCTTTGGGGGGTCATGAGATCCTCCAAGACCTCTCCCCTGAAAAATGCACACCCAGACGTCATTACATATGATTTTAGGGTTTCTGTGAGAGGCCTGCCCCTGGGGGCCGCATAGATCCTCCCCACACCCAAGCGTGAACTCTGCTGTGTGAAGTCTAATATATTGTCTGCAACCAGCTTTGCCCATTTGTCTCACTTGTGGATAAAGTTTCTTTGTGAAGTCTAAGAATCTCAGGGTTGGCTCTGTGATAGCCGGAAGACTGAGGGGCCTTTCCAGTCACTGGTGGCAGTAACTGAAATTTTAGGACAGAGTGTTACCCGAATGTATTCATTCTTTCTGTGGCTACGTCCAGCACCTACAAGTGCTAGAGTTTCTATCAGTGACAGAGTTTCTATCCTAGTTAAGACAAACTTGAAGCAAATGAACAAATACAATCATTTGGGGAAGCAGGGTAAAGGAAATAAACAGCTTTTTGTGACTGGCTGGAGTATGGGGGGAAGAAACTACAGAGGGGAAATTGAGAAATGCCTCCCTGAGGCGGTGACGTGAGCTGAGACTTGAAGGCAGAGGAGATCTAGGGGAACAGAGTTTCAGGCAGAGGGATCAGCACATCCACTGGCCCTGAGGTTGGGGCGCACTGGTGAGCCAGAGGAGAAGGGGCCCATTGAATGCGCTTGAATAAAATCCAGATCTCTTCCATGGCTCTAAGGCTGAAGAAGCTGCCAGGGGCCTTGTAGGGCACTGGCAGAAGGCTGAATTTTATTTGATGGATCCTTTCCACTGATGGCCCCCATCCCTTTAGGAGCTCCAGGGTCAGAGATCGGATGTCTACAGTGACCTCAACACACAGAGGCCGTATTACAAATGAGCCCGAATCATGACAGTCAGCAACCTGATACCTGGATCCAGCCATTCCTGAAGCTTACCTGGCAACTCATTCCAACTCCTACCGCCATACCGACCCACAGAGTGCCGTCCCTAAGAGACCAGACCTCTCCCCAGTACTGCCCCCAAATAAACATCAAGCGCAGAAACATGATGCCAGATCCTAGGGCTGATGGGATGGGGACATGTGGGGTCCTGAGGGGGTCTTGGATCCAGAAACAGTTCATGGGAGGAGGGTTCTTTGAGGAAGAATACAATTACAGGTATTTCAATTGCTTTATTTCAACCCAAAAGTTGGGCGGGAGGTTCCTGTGCCACCACACACCATTCAGGATGAGAGGGTCAGAAGCAAAGGTCCAAGCTGCAGGGGGGTCAGCCCCTGCCCGGCATGTTGATGTAGACTTTGCCATCTTCTGGGGATAGGGGAGAGAAAGCATGAAGCCTGACCACCCACATATTCACTTCCTTAGGGACCCCCTGCTTCAGGGCTTGCCTCAGGGGCTCCCCCAGGCACCTCCCCCAGGGTTTCCCCAGCACCTCCTCCAGGGCTTCCCCAAGGGTCCCCTCCCTGGGACCCCCTCCCTAGGGACACCGCGCACCCTCCAGGCCCCTCCCATTCCTGCCCTCACCTTGGGCGGGGCTGCGGCGTGGGCGGGCGCACAGGAACACCGCCCCGACGATGAGCAGTGATACCACCGCATCAGCCGCCACGAGGCCTGCCAGGAGCGGCAGAGAGAGGGGCCCACATCCGGAACAGGAGCCTGGAGAGTGGGGGCCGGGACGGGGAGACAGCTCAGGTTCTGCGTTCTGGGGCTGTGTTTTGGCCACAGGGAGGAGAGGAAGTTCCTCTGAGGGGGCGGGTCCCACGTTCGTTCCCTGGGGTTGCGATTGGGGAATGAAAGGGGAGACCGAGATGCAGAGAGCCTGGGGTGCCCCAGGACCCTTGGGACCGTGCGGTGGGCACATGGGGTACTCCTAAAAAGAGGCTGGGGGTCACTGATTCTGGGACTCGGAGAGGGACACAGATTCTCTGATTCAGGGACTGGCGGTGAGATAGTGACCTGAGAGCCACTGGGGTGTTCTGAGAGCCTCTGGTTTCTGGGATGGACACAATACCTGAAGTGCCGGGGTAAAAGTCAAGGAGTGATCTCTCACCTGGGGTCGTTTGAGCTGCAGCCACTGTGGAAAGAGAGAGGGGGTTGAGGGTGGAGAGAAGGTCCCTGAAACAGCTGGGCACAGTGGCTCACACTTGTCATCCCAGCACTTTGGGAAGCCGAGGCAGGAAGATTACTTGAGCCCAGGAGTTTGAGACAAGCCTCGGAGACATAGTGAGACCCTGTCTCTGCAATACAAAAATTAACTGGACATGGTGGTTTGCGCTTGTAATCCCAGCTACTCTGGAGGCTGAGGTGGGAGGATCACTTGAGTCGTGATTGCGGCACTGCATTCCAGCCTGGACAACAGCGAGACCCCATCTCAAAACAAAGCAAAAAATAGGATGTAGGGAAGGAAAGGAGATGGAACAGGGTCACATGGGAAGGGAACTCCCAGAGACACAGAGAGTGACAAGAAATCAGAAGTGGCAGCAGAGACCCGCCCATGAGAAGGGGGCACTCACAGGCAGCTCCTCTAGAACTCCCTGCCTTGGCTGGGTGCGGTGGCTCATGCCTGTAATTCCAGCACTTTGGGAGGCCACGCTGGGCAGATCATGAGGTCAGGAGATTGAGACCATCCTGGCCAACATGGTGAAACCACATCTGTACTAAAAATACAAAAATTAGGTGAGCATGGTGGTGCATGCCTGTAGTCCCAGCTACTTGGGAGGCTGAGGCAGGAGAATCGCTTGAACCTGGGAGGCAGAAGCTACAGTGAGCTGAGATCGTGCCACTGCACGATCTGGGCAACGGAGCAAGACTCCGTCTCAAAAAAACAAAAACAGGCCGGACACCATGGCTTACTCCTGTAATCCCAACACTTTGGGAGGCTGAGGCAGGTGGATCACAAAGTCAGGAGTTCAAGACCAGCCTGGCCAACATGGTGAAACCCGGCTCTACTAAAAATACAAAAAATTAGCTGGTTGTTGTGGCACACACCTATAATCTCAGCTACCTAGGAGGCTGAGGCAGGAGAATAGCTTGTACCCCGGAGGCTGAGGTTGCAGTGAGCTGAGATCATGCCATTGCACTCCAGCCTGGGTGACACAGGGAGACTCTGTCTCCAAAACAATAAAAATAAATAAATAAATAAATAGAACAAGCAAACAAAAAAACTCCCTGTCTTACCTCCTCCCACCCCCAAGGACCTAGGCCCTGAAGCCAAATGGATTTCCCAGAAGGGAAGGGGCACAGGGAGAAGAACCCCACTTTCAGCACCCATCCCTGCGACGTCACCCAAGCACCCCTCTCACAAACACTCAGCCTACCATCCCCTGTAACCACTGGCTCTACCTGGGAGCAAAAGCAGGAAGAGGATGTGACCCAGAAGGACCATGGTGGGCTGGGGTCTGGCAGAGGTCTGGCAGAGGATTGTGGTCCAGAGAAGTCCCGAGGAACCGTGAGGGAGCAGAGAAGTAGCAATAGCGGATGTCACCCTGCTGGTGTCAAGGCCATCTACTTCCTGTGCGTGTTGAGGGGGTGTCTGTGTTGTTGCCTTTGGTGAACTAACTCAGGGGGAGGGTCAGAGAGACCAGGGAGGCTGCTGTGCTGGTCCCAGTGGGAATGACAGGTGGCCCAGGGTGTGCTGGCTAGGGAGATCTGGAAATATTTTGAAGGTAGGGCCAACAACATTTACTGATGAAGTGGATGTGGGTGTTTGAGAGGGATCCAGGACAGCCGAGCCTTCTGGCCCGAAACGCTGAGAAGATGGAGCGTCCATTGGCAGAGAAGAAAGGAGGGGAAGTGGGTTTTCGGGGAAAGTGCCGAGGTTTGGACACGGGGAGTTGGAAATGCCTGATAATCTCCCTGTGGAGATGCTGAATGACCTCACTGCATTTAGGAGTTCAAGGGATAAGGCTGGTCTAGAAATGTAAATTTGGGGCTTGATGGCTTATGGATGGTATTGAAAGCCAAGCCTGGGTGAGATCACCAAGGAAGTGAGTGCAGACAGGATTCCGCCCCCATCCCAACACACACTGAATGGGGAAAGGGGAGGAAACTTGCCAGGGAAATGGAGAAGGAGGAGGGAGTAAGGGAGGAGACCCCGGAGAACCTGGCATCTTGAAAGCAGGGGAGAGGCTGCCGAGGTGGCTCATGCCTGTAATCCCAGCACTTTGGGAGGCCAAGGCGGGAGGTTCACCTGAAGTCAGGAGTTCAAGCAAACGTGATGCCGTGAAACCCCATCTCTACAAAAATAGAAAAGTTACCCGGGCTTGGTGTCGGGCGCCTATAATCCCAGCTACTCGGGACTGAGGCAGGTGGAGGTTGAAAAGACCTGAGGTGTTGCCACTGCACTCCAGCCTGGGTGACAGTGAGACCTTGTCAAGAAAGAGAAAGAAAGAGAGAGAGAGAGAGAAGGAAAGAAAGAAAGAGAAAGAAAGAAAGGCAAGCAAGCAGGGGAGGAATAGGGCCCACGTGGTCAGTGCTGTGAAAGGTCACCAAGTGAAACTGAAGGTGGCCTCCCACTGGAATGTCAGCTCCAGGGCTGGGAATTCCTGCCTGCTTAGTTCCCAACACGCAGCAAAATGCCTCCTCTGCTGCAATCAATTATTTTAAATGATGGGTGAGAAAATGAAACCAGACCTCTGAAAAGGGTCATGTAGGGGAGAGGGAGAAGTTGAGCCACACCCTTTACCCTTACCCACAGGCCCTCCCGCTGGGAGTCTAACCCCCAGTACCCGCCTCACTCCGGACCCAGTAATAATCTCCCTGCTCCTACCCCTACCTCCGTGGGCAGGACCCAGGAAACAAAGCAGTCAGCACCCCCTTGGACAGAGACTCAGAAATCCAGGCCCCAGCCAGGTGCTATGGCTCAATCCTGTCATCCCAGCACTTTGGGAGGCCAAGGCCGGTAGGTCATCTGAGGTCAGGAGTTGGAGACCAGCCTGGCCAACATGGTGAAACTCCATCTCTACTAAAAATACAAAAATTAGCCGGTGTGGTGGCGGACCCAGCTAACTGGGGAGGGTGAGGCAGGAGAATCGCTTGAACGGAGGAGGCGAGGAGGCTGAAGTTGCAATGAGCCGACATAGCGCCATTGCGCTCCAGCCTGGCGACAGAGACTCCTCAAAAACAAAACAAAATAAATTCCAGCATCCCCCCCACGCCCCAGTGTCCCCCTCCTCTTGGAGCCCAGTATCCTAGGCTGCTTCAGACCAAAGGTCGGGACCCCAGGTCCCTCCTTCTCCAGGGACTCTGGAGTCCGCCTCCCGAGTCCGCCCCGCCCACTCAAGGGCTGCGTTGGCCCTAGCGCGACTCGGGGACTCCCAGGTCTGTGGGCGGGCCCTGCCCAGGACTGGGTGGTGCCAGAACCCCTAGTTTAAAAACTCGCGGGTAGCGGACCGAAGATCGGGGACCCGGCGGCGGCTCCGCGGGGGAAACAGCGAGGCTGGCGCAGCGCCGAGGCCGCGGCCCTGGGGGCCCGCAATCCGCGCCACGGAATCCCCGAGGTAATGGGTGCGGGTAAGGCGCGCTCGGCCTCCTAAGAACGTGAGGAGCTGAGGATCGAAAGACTCCTGAGCTCCCGAGGGACAGAGCTGGAGAGTCAGTCCTGGGTCCGGAGAGTGAGGATCTCCGGTGTTTGGAGGAGGAGGGGTCCCGGACTCCTGGATCGTGACGAAGGGGCGGTTGGGATCACGGACTTATGGGTCCTGGGGGCGCAGGGCACTGGGGATCCAGGATCGCGGGTCCCCGAGGGTGAAAGGGCTGGGAGGCTGGACCCCTGCCTGGGTCCTTGGAGGTGCTGGGGGTTGCTGGCAGCTGATAATCACCCTAGAAGGGGGCGGGCTCCCGGACTGAGTGCTGGGGGGCGTCGTTGCTTAAAATCGGCGAGGGTCTCGGTGGGGAAGGGTCCGGAGCCTGGCCTTAGGGTCAATGCTGACGGTGACCCTGCCTGGGCCCCGCCCTTGGATTTTCGGATCTCCACTCGTGCGGGGCTGAGCAGGAATTCCCCTTTCGCGGGGATTCCACTAACGCCACGCACGGCCGCGCTCCCCGCCTCGGAGCAGGACACCTGGGGTGAAAGAGGGGGGAAGGGGAGAATGGAAGATTCCCTTGCGCGAACGCCTTGGCGTCAGCGCGCTGCGTCCGGGCGGTTTCCGAGCCGCCCCCTCCCGCCCCACCGCAATCCCGGGTTAACCCTTCCTCCGCCGGAACCCGGGCGCGGAAGGTTGAGGGTCTTGCCTTTCTGGGTCGTGGGAGGGAGTTTGGGACCCAGGGCTCCCAAATCCTAGAGAGGAGGGAACTGAGGGTCCAGACTCCTGGGACCTGAAGAAGAGATAGTACGAGTGGGACTTTGTTTTTTGAATAGAGTCTCTTTCTGTCGCCCCGGCTGGAGTGTAGTGGCGCGATCTCGCTCGCTGCAACCTCAACCTCTGCCTTCTGGGTTCAAGTGATTCTCCTACCTCAGCCTCCTGAGTAACTGGGATTACAGGCTCCCGCCAGCACGCCTGGTTAATTTTTATAGTTTTAGTAGAGACGGGATTTCAATATGTTGGCCAGGCTGGTCTCCAACCCCTGATCTCAGGAGATGCGTCCGCCTCGGCCTCCCAAAGTGCTGGGATTACAGGCAAGAGCCACTGAGCCAGGCCCCTTGTGCGGCCTTTGACTTCTCGACATTCCTCGGGGAGTGGTGCTGGGGACTCCTGATTTCTAGAGGTATAGATTCTAGAGCAGAAAGATGTTGGGAACCTGAATGTACGTCAGGGAGTGACGCCTGGCACCCGCACCCCACCAACCCGCTGGCTTCAAAACTGGGATATCTGGGGGTGGAATTTTTTTGCGGAAGTGGGGTGGTTGCTGCAGAGGGGTTCCCTCCTCCCCTTTCCCCACTTTCCGCGACGCTGGTGGAAAGTTGGGTCAGAGGGAAAGTGCGAAGCAGAAGGAAGGAAATGGAGGAGGCGGACGCCCCACCCCCATCTTCTAATGGCTTTGCAGGTGTCAGGCGGCATCTACTGCCAGTTTTTCCGCGCGGGAGGGCAAGGAGGGCGCCCAAACCCACTCCCCCCGCGCCACCCCCGCCGCATTTAGTAGACTTAAGGACCCTGATGACTTCCGCTCCTCCTCTCCCGCACAGTGAGTAGGGGTGAGCGCAACCACTGTCCAACGCAGACTGTGAAGAAGCTTCTGGAAGAGCAGAGGCGCCGCCAGCAGCAGCAGCCCGACGCTGGCGGGGTGCAGGTGAGGGGAGGGAGCGACAGCTCTCAGGAGTACCCCCATGCTGTTCTGCAGGGACTCAGCGGCTTGCCAGCTGATAATCTGCCAGCTGATAATCGGGGTGGCCCTGACCTAAATGGCCCATAGGTCTGGATCAGACCCGGAGGAATCTGCCAGATAAAGTCACCAGGGTTCCTTTTTGTTTTTGTCTCTACAGGGACAATTTCTCCCTTCTCCAGCGCAGCCCCTGACCCCATCTGCGAATGAGGCTGTGACTAGTAAGTTCTCTCAGCTCCTGGGCCTCTCTGTCCCCCTTCCCTAAGGGATTCAGACATTCCAGCTCTCAGAACTTTGGGACACCTAGGAGTCAGGCCCTCATTCTTCCCCCTTTTTTTTTTTTTTTTGAGACGGGATCTCACTCTATTGCCCCGGCACTGGAGTGCAGTGGTGCTGTCTAACTCACTGTAGCCTCAACCTCCTGGGTTTGAGTGATCCTCCTGCCTCAGCTTCCCAAGTAGCTGGGACCACAGGTGATGCCACCTTCTCAGCTAATTTAAAACATTTTTGTAGCAACAGGGTCTGGCTATGTGACCCAGGCTGGTAGGCCCTCATTCTTGCTGTAACTCAGTAACAGTCTGATTTTCTAGGTTCTATGCATCCTACAGAACCCCAGGACCCAGTCTCCAGCCTTTTGAGTGTGCTAGGAGGCCTGGTCCTGGGCTCTTGGTGTCCCAGGAATACCTTGGGAAACACCAGGCCCTCTAGTCCTCGCTGTGACGTCCCCAACTGTAGTAACCAGACCTGCCCCTGCCCCTCCTTTTACATGCAGGCCACCCTCCTTTCCCAGCACACCCGGAGACTGTGGGTTCTGGAGTTAGCAGCCTGGGTCCCCCCATGGGCTTTCCAGACTGGGATCCCAACACGCATGCTGCCTACGCAGACAGCTCTTACTCTTGCCCTGCTCCTGCTGCCGAAAGTTTCCTGCCTCCCGACTTCTACCCACCCTCGGACCCAGGGCAGCCGTGCCCATTTCCCCAGGGCATGGAGGTGAGATACAGAGTGGGTACAGGATGCTGAAGGGCCCCTAAAAATTCGAAGTTGTGCTCCTGTAGTATTCTGGGGTGTCTGGAGCTCGGTTACGGTCGCCTTTCCTAGGCTGGGCGTGGTGGCTCATGCCTATAATCCCAGCGCTTGGGGAGGCTGAGGCAAGTGGATCATTTGAGGTCAGGAGTTTGAGACCAGCCTGGCCAACATGGTGAAACTAAAAATACAAAAATTAGCTGGGTGTGGTGGCAGTCGCTTGTAATCCTAGCTACTCCGGAGGCTGAGGCAGGAGAATTGCTTGAACCCAGGAGGTAGAGGTTGCAGTGAGTGGAGATCACACCGCTGCACTCCAGCCTGGGTGACAGAGTGAGACTGTCTTGGAAAAAAAAAATCCCCTTTTCCAGGTGGGCAAAACTGAGGCCTAAAAGTCCGAGGTCACTTGGCACAGATGGGATACCCAGGGGCTCTGCATGCAGATGTGACTGTGTGGTGGTTTGGGATGGGGGAGTTCTCAGCTGACTGGCTCTCTCCACCACCTGCACCCCTCAGGACCCCCAGGACACCCGGCTCTATGCAGGATCTTCCCTGCCACAGGCGGGACCCTGGAGAGTTTCTGCACTCCCTTCAGGACCCCCTCAGTTCCCCTCTGTGGTCCCTGGACCATCACTGGAGGCAGCCCGAGCTCACATGCTGGCTTTGGGGCCACAGCAGCTGCTGGCCCAGGATGAGGAGGGGGACACGTGAGTATAGGGGGCGGGTTTGTCTGCAGACTCTTGGCTTGGTGGGGGCTGTTCTCATGGCTGTCCCCCACCCGTCCTCAGGCTCCTGCACCTGTTTGCGGCCCGGGGGCTGCGATGGGCGGCGTACGCTGCGGCTGAGGTGCTCCAGGTGTACCGACGTCTTGACATTCGTGAGCATAAGGGCAAGGTGAGGCCTGGGGCCTGAATGCTCCTGGGTTCAGAGGAGGAGGGAGCCAGGGGCCTGGACCCCTGAATCCTAGACAAGAGAGGAATGGGGGCTGAGCTCCTGGGTCTGAGGGGAGATGAGGCTGGGAGCCTGGTTTTCCAACGGGAGGGAACCAGGGGCCCAGCCTGACCTCTCCTGTGACCTGCAGACCCCTCTCCTGGTGGCAGCTGCTGCCAACCAGCCCCTGATTGTGGAAGATCTGCTGAACCTGGGAGCAGAGCCCAACACCACTGACCATCAGGGACGTTCAGTCTTGCACGTGGCCGCTACCTACGGGCTCCCAGGAGTTCTGTTGGTATGCCCAGCTGGCAGGCGGTGGGGGGGGGCGGGGGGAGTCATCTGAGGGTAGACTGGTTGCCCAGATTTTGGCTTTCACAGCCGGGAGGCCAAAGGAGACCCTTACCCAGCACTCCAACTTCTCTTCCTCCCAGGCTGTGCTTAACTCAGGGGTTCAGGTTGACCTGGAAGCCAGAGACTTTGAGGGTAAGTTGGGTGTGGGCAGGGCTGGTGTGGCTGGGCGGGGTGGGTGCAGCAGATGCAGGTCCCTCACTCTCTCCATTCTGCAGGCCTCACCCCACTCCACACAGCCATCCTGGCCCTTAACGTTGCTATGCGCCCTTCCGACCTCTGTCCCCGGGTGCTGAGCATGCAGGCCCGAGACAGGCTGAATTGTGTCCACATGTTGCTGCAAATGGGTGCTAATCACACCAGCCAGGTGAGCTGGGATGTGGGCGGTCAGTCCCTGGGAGATTGTATGGGATGGGGCCGCCTGGAAGGCTGGGAGCTCCAGACAGATGCTGACTTTGCCTCTTCCTTGCTGTGTGCCCTTCAGCAAATTACTTCACTTCTCTGTGCCTTAGGAGTTTTTGTTTTTTTCTTTGTTTATTGGGGTTTTTTTTGTTTTTTGAGATAGGGTCTCACTGAGTCACCCAGGCTAGAGTGAAGTGGTGCAGTCTCGGCTCACGGCAGCCTCTGCCTTCCAGGTTCAAGTGATTCTCCTGCCTTAGCCTCTTGACTAGCTCAGACTATAGGCGTGTGCCACCACACCTGGCTAATTTTTAAAAGTTTTTTATTTTGAGTAGAGATGGAGTTTCATCGTGTTGGCCAGGCTAGTCTCAAACTTGTTACCTCAAATGATCCTCCCTACTTGGCCTCCCAGAGTGTTGGGATTACAGGTGTAAGCCACCTCACCCAGCCCCTAGTTGTTAACTGGGAATATTACTGACCTTAGGGTGTGTTATCAAGCACTGACTATTCATTCATCAAGCACTGAGTTTCATTGATCAGCTTACTGAAACCTCACAAACACCCCTTGCTTGACATGTGCACTCTATTTTCTCTATTTTACTGATAAGGAAACTGAGGCATGGGAAATCAAAAATCTTTTTTTTTTTTTTTTTTTTGAGACAGCTTCCCTCTTGTTGCCCAGGCTGGAGTGCAGTGGTGTGATCTTGGCTCACTGCAACCTCTGCCTCCCAGGTTCAAGCGATTCTTCTGCCTCAGCCTCCCGAGTAGCTGGGATTATAGGCATGTGTCATCATGCCCTGCTAATTTTGTATTTTTAGTAAAGATGGGGTATCACCATGTTGGTCAGGCTGGTCTCGAACTCCCGACCTCAGGTTATCCGCCTGCCTTAGCCTCCCAAAGTGCTGGGATTACAGGTGTGAGCCACCATGCCCGACCACAAAAATCTTTTTGAGACAGGGTCTTGCTCTGTTACTTAGGCTGCAGTGCAGTGGCATGATCACAGCTTACTGCAGTCCTGACCTTGTGAGCTTAAGTGATCCTCCCACCTCAGCCTCCCAAGTAGCTGTGATCACAGGCATGCACTACCATGCCTGGCTAATTTTTTGTAGAGGTGGGGTCTAACTATGTTGGCCAGGCTGGTCTCAAACTCCTGAGCTCAAGCAATCTTCCCACCTCTGCCTTGGAAAATGCTGGGATTACAGGTGTGAGCCACTACGACCAACCTAAAAAATCTTACAGTTCGTGAGTGTCAGAGAGGGGATTAGAACCTAGGTAGTCTGACTTTAGAACCTAGCTTTTAATTATGTTCTGTTCCTTTCCTGTGACAGTCGTTCGGAGGAAATTACATTTAAGTTGAGCGAGAAACAGTGAAGAAGAAGAATTAACTGTGTGGTAGGGTTCTGGGAGAACTCAAACATCAAGGAGTATTTCTCTGAAAAAAGCACAAGTAAAAAATTTTTTTTTGAGATGGAGTCTTGCTCTCTCACGCAGGCTGGAGTGCAGTGGTGCAATCTCAGCTCACTGCAACCTCCTGGGTTCAAGTGATTCTCCTGCCCAAGCCTCCCAAGTAGCTGGGACTACAGTCGTATGCCATCACACTCCGATAATTTTTGTACTTTTAGTAATAATAACAAATTTTTTTAAAAATAATAAAAGATGGCTGGGTGCAGTGGCTCAGGCCTGTAATCCAAGCACTTTGGGAGGCCTAGGTGGGCGGATTGCTTGTGCTCAGGAGTTTGAGATCAGCCTGGGCAACATAAGGAGACCCCCATCTCTACCAAAAAAAGCACAAAAATTAGCTGGGCATGGTGGCATGTGCCTGTGGTCCCAGGTGCTCAGGAGGCTGAGGTGGGAGGATCACCTGAACCCGGGGAGGTCAAGGCTGCAGTGAGCCATCATTTTGCCACTGCACTCAAGCCTGGGTAACAGAGTGAGACCCTGTCTCTCAACAACAACAACAACAACAATAATAATAATAATAAAAGATAACTATTTTCCTGCAATTCCAGTGCTTTGGATGGCTAAGGTAGGAGGATCACTCGAGCCCTGTAGGTTGAAGTTGCAGTGAGCTGTGGTCACACCACTATACCCCAGCCTGGGCAGCAGAGTGAGACCCTGTCTCAAAAAACAAACAAAAAAATAACTTTTTATTTTGAGACAGGATCTCATTCTGTTGCCCAGGCTGGAGTGCAGTGGTGCAATTCTGGCTCACTGCAGCCTCTGCCTCCCAGGTTCAGGCGATCCCTGTGCCTCAGCCTCCCGAGTAGCTGGGATTATAGGCACGTGCCACCACGCCTGGCTAATTTTTGTATTTTTTGTAGAGACAGGGTTTCACCATGTTGGCCGGGCTGGTCTCGAACTCTTGACTTCAAGTGATCCACCCGCCTTGGCCTCCCAAAGTACTGGGATTACAGGCATGAGCCCCCTTGCCCTTCCAAAAAAAAAGAATTTTTTAAACCTCAATATCATTATTCTGTCTTTAAAAAATTAAAGATTATGTTGTAATACTAAATATCCTGGCTGTAGTCAATTTACTTTTGGGTATAAAATAATTTTTTTCATTAAAAAAATCAAGATCCAAATAAGCACACATATTATGGTGTTATATCTTTTCAAATCACTTTTTTTTTTTTTTAATTGAGAAGGAATCTCACTCTGTCACCAGGCCAGGCTGGAGTGCAGTGGCACAATCTCGGCTCACTGCAACTTCTGCCTCCCAGGCTCAAGGGATTCTCCTGCCTCAGTCTCCCGACTAGCTGGGACTACAGGCATGCCCCACCATGCCCAGCTAATTTTTGTATTTTTAGTAGAGACAGTTTCACCATGTTGGCCAGGATGGTCTTGATCTCTTGACCTCGTGATCTGCCTGCCTCTCAGGCTCAAGGGATTTTCCTACCTCAGTCTCCAGACTAGCTGGGACTACAGGCGTGCCCCACCATGCCCAGCTAATTTTTGTATTTTTAGTAGAGACAGTTTCACCATGTTGGCCAGGACAGTCTTGATCTCTTGACCTCGTGATCTGCCCGCCTCAGCCTCCCAAAGTGCTGGGATTACAGGTGTGAGCCACCACGCCCGGCCTCAAATCACTCTTAATCTAGAGATTTGGTTTAGTCTTCATCATTTTTTGGATGAGCAAACTAGGTGGTTTTCCCGTTATGAGCACATAAAATGTTTAATGTTCATTATCATTACAAACTCCTTACAGACACATAAAAAGTTTTCATTTTCAAAAATGTCTTTTATTTTCCTCCAAATATGATGGGAACAGCTCGATATTGTGGTGCAGTATTGCAATATTAGCTAGTCCACAGATTAATGTTGGCAGCTCCTGTGCTTGTAGATAAAGTACAGTCTCTGTGGGACAGATTCAGTTTAATGTGTTTAATGGATGCGGGTAGCCAGGGCAGTTGCTAACCTGGAGAAAAGGAGTCTCTTTCTCAGACACTTTGGTGGGAAATTTTCATAAGAATGTACAGTTCTGGGAGGTGTATGGTGTGAATGGTACACCCTGAGATATGGTGTTGTGCAGTGCACAACACATACAACTGAATAAGGCACTCTTGGTGGGGCTTGCAGAGGAGGGCCAGCATCTTTTTTTTTTGAGACAGCGTGTTACTCTGTCATCCATGCTGGAGTGCAGTGGTGTGGTCATGGCCCACTGCAGCCTCGAACTCCTAGGCTCAAATGATCCTCCTGCCTCAGCCTCCCAAGCAGCTGGGACTACACATGTGCACCACCATGCTTGGCTAATTTTTCTATTTTTTGTAGAGATGAGGTCTTGCTGTGTTGTCCAGGCTGGTCTTGAGCTCCTGGCCTCAAGTGATCCTTCTTCTTCAGCCTCCCAAAGTGCTGGGATTGCAGGCCTGAGCCACCTCACCCTGCCAAGGTCCAGGGTCTCTAAAGGCTCCTGGATTCTGTGGGAGGGTGTCTGGGTGTGAGGCTGGGCCTGACCTCTGCCATTCCCCTCCCCACAGGAGATCAAGAGCAACAAGACAGTTCTGCACTTGGCTGTGCAGGCTGCCAACCCCACTCTGGTTCAGCTGCTGCTGGAGTTGCCCCGGGGAGACCTGCGGACCTTTGTCAACATGAAGGTGGGGGCCGGAGCTGGGAAGTGCAGATTGTGTGGGATACGGTAGAGGGGGAAGTGGGATGTTATGGGTCCTGTGGGCTATGGATGTGGAGGGGACGATGTGTGGGATCTGCGGGGGAATGTGTACGAAGCAGTGTAGATTGCCCCGGAATGTGTAGGCTGTGGACACAGGGATGCATGCACCATGGCCGTGGCCAGGGGAGGTCTGGGATGTGAAGGGACAAGTGTAAGACATGGACAAGGCAGGAACTGAAGTGCAGTTTAGAGGCCTGGGCAAGCTAAGCCCAGATCCCCATCAGCCCTTCCCTTGCTGTTCCAGGCCCATGGGAACACGGCGCTTCACATGGCAGCTGCCCTTCCCCCTGGGCCGGCCCAGGAGGCCATCGTTCGGCACCTGTTGGCAGCTGGGGCAGACCCCACACTGCGAAACCTGGAGAATGAGCAGCCCGTTCACTTGCTGCGGCCTGGGCCGGGCCCTGAGGGGGTGAGTAAGCCCTGAGCCTGCCTGCGGAGAGGCTCTGAGCTAGCGGGATTGGCCTCCCTGCCCTACCCAATGCTCACTTTCAGAGAATGACTTCTAATCACGGAAGGTGACTTCAACCCTCACACAACTCTGACTTTCTAATGTGACCTCTGACCTCAGTGTTTCATCCTTTACCCCGGAATGGTGACTTCTCTGATCTCTACCCCAAACCTGACCTCAAAGTGTGACCTGTACTCCCAACCCTGAATCTCGCTTGACCTCAAGGTGTGATCTTTGATCCCCAAGTGTGACCTCCTACTCTTTGCCCCTAGCCTTGGGTCCTGACCTCAGATGTGACTTTTGGCCTCTTACCTGTTGTTCCCTTCAATTCCCTTTCAATCCTCACTCCCAGGTGGGAACCCCCAACTGGCAGCCCCTTTCCCTTTACCGTAGGCCTGCTTCCTGACCCTTTCTCAGTGTGTGGACTCAGGCCTTGACCTCCTTTCCACATCTTTATTTTTTTATTTATGTTTTTTTTTTTTTGAGACAGAGTCTCCATCTGCTGCCAGGCTGAAGTGCATGGTGCGATTCTCAGCTCACAGCAACCTCCGCCTCCTGGGTTCAAGCGATTCTCTTGCCTCAGCCTCCCAACTAGCTGGGACTATAGGCATCGCCACCATGCCTAGCCAACTTTTGTATTTTTAGTAGAGATGGCATTTCACCCTGTTGGCCAGGCTGGTCTCGATTTCTTGACCTCATGATCCGCCCACCTCGGCCTCCCAAAGTGTTGGGATTACAGGTGTGAGCCACCATGCTGGTCTTATACTGTTATTTTTATTTTTTGTTTTTGAGGCAGGGTCTTGCTCTGTTGCCTAGGCTGGAGTGCAGTGGTGTGATCACAGCTCACTGCAGTTGAACTCCTGGGCTCAAGGGATCCTCCTGCCTCAGCCTCCCCAGTAGCTGGTACTACAGGCAGGCACCAACACACCCAGCTAATTTTTTTTTTTAAGAGATGGGGTCTCACTATGTTGCCCACGCTGGTCTCAAACTCCTGGCCTCAAGTGATCCTCCCATCTTGGCCTCCCAAACTGTTGGGATCACAGGCATGAACCATCACGCCCAGCCTCCTTCCCAAATCTCTATCACCCAGGCTGGAGTGCAGTGAGTCAATCTTGGCTTACTGAGTGAATCTGCACACTCTACCTCCTGGGTTCAGGATCTTTTGCCTAGGCTGGAGTACAGTGGTGCAGTCTCAGCTCACTGCAACCTCCGCCTCCAGGGTTCAAGCTGTTCTCCTGCCTCAGCCTCCCCAGTAGCTGGGATTACAGCTGTGCACCATGACGCCCAGCCAATTTTCGTATTTTTAGTAGAGACGGGGTTTCACCATGTTGGCCAGGCTGGTCTCGAAATCCTGACCTCAGGTGATTTGCCCACCTTAGCCTCCCAAATTGCTGGCATTACAGGCCTGAGCCACTGCACCTGGCTCTTCCAAAATCTCGACTCCAGACCTCTGATCTTCAAATCCAACGGGCCCCACTCAGCCTCTCTTCTCCAGCCCCTCCCTCCGTGTGGCGTGCCTTCCCCACCTCTCTTTCCAATCTGACAGACTGCTCTCCCTGCCTTGCCTTGTCTACAGCTCCGGCAGCTGTTGAAGAGGAGCCGTGTGGCGCCGCCAGGCCTGTCCTCTTAGGACTCAAGCCCAGACCCTGGACTGATTTTCCAGTCCCCACCGTCCTGCGGGACAGCCAGCGTATGCTAATGTTGCAAATCCATGATAATGTATGTGGAATATCCTGCCATTAGGGTCTTACATTAAAACCCCAGAATGGCTGCAGGAAGGTGAACAGTCCCCAATATTTGGGGTGCTGTGATACCCCTCTTCCACCCACAAGGAGCCCTCTTAATGACTTCTGTGAAATCGAGGCCCCTTGATTGTTTCTGTGAAACACCCTGCACCCCTCGTCCCTTCCCCACTGTGATCTTTCAGGTTCTCTCCCCAACTCAGCTCTGTTCCCAGAGACCCAGATGGAATCCCCCTCCATGGTGCTTGGGGCATCCCATTACCATCTCAGTAAGGCTCCTACGATGGCCTCCTCGCCCTCCCAGGGACCCACATCCTTCAGATCCTCACCCTGAGACATGAGGGACCCTCAGGTCCCACTGCTCTCTGATTCAGAATTCAGCTAGGCCCCGTTCCAGACCCCAGCATTCTCAGTCACTCCCTCCCTAATCTGAGCATCACTCAAGCTCTTTATTAAATTCAATTTGGGCCGAGTGCGGTGGCTCATGCCTGTAATCCTAGCACTCTGGGAGGCCGAGGTGGGTGGATCACTTGAGGTCAGGAGTTTGGGACCAGCTTGGCCAACATGGTGAAGCCCTGTCTCCACCAAAAATACAAAAAAAAAATTAGCCAGACATGGTGGCGCACACCTGTAGTCCCAGCTACTTGGGAGGCTGAGGCAGGAGAACTGCTTGAACCCAGGAGGCGGAGGTTGCAGTGAACTGAGATTGCACCACTGCACTCCAGCCTGGGCAACAGATCAAGACACTGTCTCAAAACAAAAAAAGAAAATTAAACTCAATTTGGACTAGAACTATTGTCGTCTGATCTCTGGGGGCACTGGTGCAGGGGAATGGCTGTGATGCCCGCGGAGGGGTCATGTTGGGATGAATGTACCTGAGTGGGGAGGATGTAGCAGCCACCATGAGTGCCAAGTCCATAGCCCGTCACCCTCACCCTGGTGACACAAGCAAGACTTTTGGGAGGCCAAGGCATGAAGATCACTTGAGTCCAGGAGTTTGAGGCCAGCCTTTGGGCAGTCTCAGAACACTGGTGTGGCTCTGCCCTGGATACGAGCATGGCAAAAGTTGAAAAGCAGGAAGTTCTTGCCCTCTTCTGACTCCAGCAGCCCTCAACCCGTTACCCATAGGAGATGGTCCCCCACCTGTCTGTTGGGCTAACTTGGAAGTGCATGGCCTATGTGGACTCCCAGAGTTCCCCAGTGGATGAATCACTGTGGTTCCCCACAGTGGTTCAGGCTTTGATACAATACCCTCTATAGGCTTCTCTCCCTTCTGTGGTGTCTTTTCCTCCCCTACCAATGTTCTCCATCCCGTCCAAATGAACTTCCCCCCATCCTTCCCTTGGTGGCTACTTTTGGAGAAACCCAAACTAAGACCTCCACAAAACCCATTCTCAGCCAGGTGTGGTGGCTCATGCTTATGATTCCAGCACTTTGGGAGGCCGAGGCGGACAGATCACCTGAGGTCAGGAGTTCAAGACCAGGCAAAAACTCATCTCTACTAAAAATACAAAAATTAGCCAGGCATGGTGGTGTGCACCTGTACTATCAGCTACTTAGGAGGCTGAGGCATAAGCATCGCTTCTACCTGGAGGTAGAAGTTGCAGTGAGCTGAGATTGTGCCACTGCACTCCAGCCTGGGCAACAGCGCAACAAGACTGTCTCAAAAAATATATACAAAAAACCCCCCAAAAAACCCAAACACCATTCTCATACTTGGTCGACAGCCTCTGCTCTGGCTTCTGCAATATTCACCCAAGGAGCCACCATCCCAGAAAACCCTCAGACCCATCATAGCCCCTGCAGCTAGGAACCTTTCATGGACCACAAATGTATGTATTATTAGCACACTCCAGTCCTCCGGCCAGTGTCTCTGCCCCAAAACTTAAGGCTTAAACCAACACCTTCTTAATTGTTTTTTTTTTTCTTGGCGATGGGGGTGGGGGGGCCGGGGTGGGGGACGGAGTCTTGTTCAGTTGTCCAGGCTAGAGTGCAACGGCACAATCTCAGCTCACTGCAACCTCTGCCTCCCGGGTTCAAGTGATTCTCCTGCCTCAGTCTCCTGAGTAGCTGGGATTACAGGCAACTGCCACCACGCCTGGCTAATTCTAATTTTTGCATTTTTTAGTAGAGATGGGTTTACAACATGTTGGCCAGGCTGGTCTCGAACCCCTGACCTCAAATTATCCTCCCGCCTCAGGCTCCCAAAGTGCTGGGATTTAAGGCATGAGCCATGGCTCCCAGCCCCTCTTAATTGTTTCTGACTGTACTCTAGGCTGGGATCAGCTGGCTGTTCTGCTGTCTCTCTTTGGTTCCTTACGTGGCTGCAGTTAACCTGAGGCCGAGGCAGGAAATCCAAGACAACTTCACTCACATGCTTGATAGCTTGGCTGAAATATTAGAGCTTCCAGGAGTGAACCAAGAGTCTCTCCATGTGGTCCAGGAGGGCAGGTGGATCTCTTCACTTCAAGTGGTGGCTCAGCGGCTCAAAAAGGGAGAGATCCAAGGGGACAAGCCCCTGCTTGTATCATGCGCGTTGACATGCCATTGATCCCAGATCAGTGTGGGAGGCATTACACAAGGGTCTGAATATTGGGGGACAGAGTTATCTGGGAGCCCAGTGAGGTGCCTCACGCCTGTAATCCTACCACTTTGGGAGGCCAAGCCAGGCAGCTCACAAGGTCAGGAGTTCAAGACCAGCCTGGTCAACACGGTGAAACTCTATCTTTACTAAAAATACAAAAATTAGTGGGGCATGGTGGTGGGCTCCTGTAGTCCCAGCTATCTGGGAGGCTGAGGGAGGAAAATTGCTTGATCCCACAGGCAATTTTCAGCCTATTTATTTAACAAATTACTGGCTCACACCTGTAATAAATAGGCTGACCTCGGGGAGTGAGGTCAGCCTATTTATTACAGGTGTGAGCCAGTAATTTTTTTACAAATCCTAAATTTTTACAAATCACTATCCATAGATGAAGCTTTTAAAAGCCCTTTTAAAAGGACCTTTATTTGTTCTTTTCACGTGAGGGAAGTGATGAGTATTATTCAAGTGTGAGAAATGGCCATGGCCACTCGATGTAATTTTTTACTAATCCTATAGCTACACAAAGAAAATAGCACCGAGGGTAGTGGAGGAAAATCTACTAGACCTCAAGCCTGTCTCGAATTCAATTCTGTACTCTAATTCAGACTTTGTCTTTACCTAGCTGAGTCAGATAAATTATTTAATTTTTCTGGACTTCTCTTTCTTTTCTTTTTTTTTTTTTAGATTGGGTCTCACTCTGTTGCCCAGGCTGTAGTGTAGTGGCGCGATCTTGGCTGACTGCAACTTCCACCTTCCAGTTTCAAGTGATTCTCCAGCCTCAACCTCACAAGTCGCTGGGATTACAGGTATGTACCACCCACCAGGCTAACTGGACTTCTCTTTCTTTAAATACAGAAGGAGAGGGCTAAGAGGCCATCCCTCCAGACCAAAAGTTTGTATGTTGATGTGTTACTGTCTTTCAAGAGTGAGTTTGCTCCTCCTCAAGTATCTTTCAGGGGTCTGTTTGCTCCTGGTCAAGAATCTGAGGTCTAGACTTTTGCTCAGAGTTGCTGAACCTCTCTCCCTTCCCATTTATTTCACTCTTCTTAGGATGTTCTCTACCTTCCTCTCCCCTCTCCTGTCCCTACCACACCCCATTCTACAACCCCATCTGAAATATCAAGGGTGACCATAACTCACTGGTAGGTTGGAGAGGGTTAAAGACTTCTGAGCAATTCTCATAGACACCTCCTGTTCTCTGGTGCTGGCTGTGACTGGCACTGCTAGAGGGGATCTGGATCATTGCTTCTGGCATGGCCAGCCCATACCAGTTGTTTTTGTTGGCAGTGGAATTTTGAGGACTGCTACTCCCAGCTGCTTTCTCTTAGAGCCTTAGAACAGCCAGCTTCTTTGTCCCGGAGCTTCTGGGCAGTTCCTTTACTCCTTCCATACTTCCCCTAGAGGGCAGCACAAATCACAGTCTCTGCCAAGCATATGGAGTTGGGATCAACACCATGACTCAGGATTGGCTTGTAGAATTCTTTCAAATTCCCCTAGCCTGGTATGAAAGTATGGGAACAAGAATGAATAGGTCACTCACGGTGGCTCACACCTGTAATCCCAGCACTTTGGGAGGCTGAGGTGGGCGGGTCACTTAGATGCTAGGAGTTCGAGACCAGCCTGAGCAACGTGGCAAAACCCTGTCTCTACTAAAAATACAAAAATTAGCCAAGGGTGGTGGCATACACCTGTAATCACAGCTACTTGGGAGGCTGAGGCAAGAGACCTATTTGAACACAGGGAGTGGAGGTTACAATGACCAAGATTGTGCTACTGCACTCTGGCCTGGGCGACAGAGTGAGATTCTGTCTCAAAAATAATAAATAAATAAATCAGAATGAATAGATTTATTTATTATTCGTAATAATAAATAGATTTATTTTTATTCGTAATAATAAATAAATCACACCCATTGGCCTTCACTTGAAGACAGTTCAGCATGGTGGAGTCAGATGGAGCGACTTCAAGTCCCATGCCCACCTCCAGCCTTAGTAACAGAGTGGTTTTAGGAAAAGTTACTTAACTCCTCTAGGCCTTGGTTTCTTATTTTTCAAGTGGGAATAATAATGATTGCTTCTTAAAAACACATGATTATTTGAGGATTGCATGAGATCATACATGTTTTGTTAGACTCTGTGGACTGGCTATCTAGGGGCCATCACAACTCCCTTTTCTCTTGCCCTCTGAGACTTCCCTGAAGTCTCCAGAACTAGCTAAACATAAAATGAGGGCTCTATTCTGAAAACTGTGACTTCCAAAAGATACCTAGTGGTAGAAATACAGTCCCATCTAAACTCCTTCCATCACTCATGTGCTCCTTTCTCTGCATCTCCCTCTATCTACAGCATTCTTCTCTCTTTCTAGTTCCCTCCCTCCCTCCCTGAGCGAGGTCAGCCTATTTCTTTAACAAATTACTGACTCACACCTGTAATAAATAGGCTGAGCGAGGTCAGCCTGGGCAACAGAGCAAGACTCCGTCTCTCCCCCCAAAAAAATTACAAAAAATTAGCCAGGCATGGTGGCGGGCACCTGTAACTCCAGCTACTTAGGAAAATCGCTTGAACCCGGGAGGCAGAGGTTGTAGTGAGCCAAGGTTGAGCACCATTGCACTCCAGCCTGGGCAACAGGAGTGAAATTCTGTCTCAAAAAAATAAAGAAAGAAAGATGGTGTTATCAGGGGCTCCTGGTGTTGTCGCTCGTATCAGCTGTCTTGTACCAGCATGTATGTGCTCTCATGTGTATTGACACACAGGCAACAGGTCCAGAAAAATTTCCTACAAGTGTACAGTATTTTATTGATTCTAAGCAGAACTTAATTGAGATGGATGTGGCGGCTCATGCCTATGCCTGTAATTCCAGTACTTTTGAAGGCGGAGGTGGGGGAATCGCTTGAGCCTGGGAATTTGAGACCAGTAACCTAGTAAGACACTTACTCTACCAAAAAACAACAACAAAAAAACAAAAAACTTAGCTGTGTGTGGTGGTGTACACCTGCAGTCCCAGCTGCTTTGGAGGCTGAGGCAAGAGGATCATTTGAGCCCAGGAGTTCGAGGCTGCAGTGAACCATGATTGCAGCACTGCAGTTCAGTCTGGGAGACAGAGCGAGACACTGTCTCTAAGTAAGTAAATAAATAATAATAAAATAAAAAATACAGAAGAATTTAATTGAAATA